TAACAACAACAACAACAACAACCTCCTCTGTGAAGCAGAAAGAGTTCTGGTGGCACAGTGGGTAAGGCATTTGGCTGCTAACCAGGTCAGCAGTTCAAACCCACTAGCTGCTCCACGGGAAGAAGATGAAGCAATCTACTTTTGTAAAGATTTACAGCCTTGGAAACCCAATGGGGGTCACCATGAGTCAGAATTGACTCGATGGCAGTGGCTTTGTTTTTGTTTTTTTTTTTCTGAAGCAGCAGCCACTTGAGTAAGGCTTAGAACATTTTCAATAGTACAGTCATTTGTTTGGACTGCTTTTCAAAAGTTTCTATATGATCATTTTACCAAAAAAAAAAAAAAAAAATCAGCAATACAATAAGCTAAGAAAAAGATAAATAGTATAAAGATTGAATATATAGGGACAAAATTATTCATTATTGGCAGATTATATGTTTTTCCTGATTGAACAATAATCCAAGAGATGTAAACATCAAGCCTATATAAATAGTTCACCAAGATGGTTGGATTTACAATTAACACAGAGAAATCAGTAGCACTGCCTAAACATCAGCAATAGCTATTATTTAAAAATAGGATTTTTTTAACCAATACACAAAAAGCACATGCTGTAAATGAAAAAAAAAAAATGTTTAACTCTGTATGGCAAAAAAATTCGTAAGCAAAAATTAAAACACAAGTGGCTAGAAGAAATATGCAGTGTATTTAATCAACAACAGGCTAATTCCAGAATGTCTAAAGAACTTACAGGAAAAAAAGACTGGGGAAAGGAAATGAGTAGACAATTGACAAAAGTTGAAGTCACTTCAGCCAAGAAACAGAAAAATCATTATACTACTTATTTCCCTCAATAATTTACTTTAGTTATTGGGGAATATTATGGTAACTATTAGATTATTTGAGGTATAATTAAGATTTCTAAGAAAATTTGTATTTTCATACACTGGAGTTTTTCTCTTTCACCATGATTTTTCCCATGAAGAGGCTCCATAACCATCATGCATTTCTTTTTTGGTATTGGTTTTAGATGTATGAGAAAGTAAGTGGAGGAGGGCTTAAACTTGTGTTTTCTTCAAAGGTATTATGTACACAAAGCTAAAATGAAGAAATATATCAACTTTTTCGTGTAAATAATCAAGAAATCTCCATAGTCATTGATAACCATGTAGTAAGTGGTTAACAGTTGAAAGTTGAGCTTGTTTCCCTGTGTTTATTGGTCATTGGTATTTTAGCTTTTGACATCCTTTGCCCAATTTTCTCTTTATTTTGTATTATTCTTATTGATTTGTGCAGGTAGTCCCTGAGTTATAGCAGGGTTTCATTCTAAAAACTGTAGTGAGTCAGTTCTGACATAAATCAAATACTTTTTTTTTAATTTTCATTATTATTGCCTTTTATTATCAGTATCTTTATAAATCAGATCTTTTGTCTTTGGGGGTTAGAAACATTGCACAAACACTTACGGGTATATTTTAAGACATACATACATACATATTACTAACAACATGATGTTCACAAAAAAGAGATGGTTATAAGTCAGGGACTACCTGTAGTTCTTTATCCAATCTGGATATTAATCCTATGCTGATGAAATATATTGAAAATATCTTTCCTTAGTTAGTTGCTTATTTTTATCATGCTTAGATTATTTGCAGGGGGGCAGGGGTGTTACAGTTTTTGTTTTAATGCAGTTCAATTTATTTATATGGGATCTTGTTTGAGAAATAGTTCCCTATCCTGAGAACATAAACAGAGTTCAGAGATTTTTCTCATTAAGCTTTTCACTTACATAGCATTCCAAGTAGCTTTCAAGTAAGTGAACACAGCTGTTTTTGTGAGCTGCCATCGAGTGGAGTCGGCTTCCACTCGTGGTGACTGTATGAATGAGCCCACAGTCAGTTACCGGGTCCTGCAGCAGCTTTGTGACCATTGGGGTGCTTGAGTCTGTTGTGTCAATCCATCTCACTGAGGGTTTGCCTAGTTTTCACTGACCCTTTACTTTCTCTAAGGAGTTCTGGTGGCGCGGTGCCTAAAGCATTTGACTGCCAACCAGGTTGGTGGTTCAAACCCACCAGCCACTCCATAGAAAGAAGACAGGGCAATCTCCTTCTGTAAAGATTTACTGCCTCAGAAACCTAATGGGGGTCACTATGAGTTGAAATCAACTCAATGGCAGTGGGTTTGGTTTTTTGGGGGTCTTTTTTGGTTTTACTTTCTCTGGAGGTGCAGTGTTTAAGGCATTTGGCTCCTAACCAAAAAGTTGGTGATTCATCCCCACCAGCTGCTCTGTGAAAGAAAGATGAGTTTGTCTGCTTCCATAAAGACTTACAGCCTTAGAGATTCCATGTGGGTCACTGTAAGTCAAAATCAACTTGATGACGGTAAGTTTGGTTTGGTTTTAGTTCACTTGACCAAACACAGTGTCCTTTCCTAAAGACTGGTCTTTCCTGTGATATGTCCATCCTTGCTTCTAGGGAGCACTCTTAGTTGTATTTCTCCTGTGACTGATTTGTTCGTTCTGTGGCAGTCCACGATATATTCAGTATTCTTCACCAACACCACAATGCAGATGCTTCAATTCTTCTACTTTGAATTTATTCTCACAGGTGGGGCAGCGGAACAAGCTGGAACAATAGAAGCTGGCGATGAAATTCTTGCCATTAATGGAAAGCCTCTGGTTGGGCTCATGCACTTTGATGCCTGGAATATTATGAAGTCTGTCCCGGAGGGACCTGTACAATTAGTTATTAGAAAGCACAGAAATTCTTCATGAAACAAGCACTCATGCTTGTTCCATTTTTTAAACAATGTTCTTTTCTCAGTTCCATTCTACTTACTTTAGCAAATCAGAGTGACTTCTTTAAATGATGGGATTCTGAACCAACAGAGTAACACTGGTGTCAAGGACTATCAAAATCTCCAAGTCGTGACTTGCACATGAAGCCTGCCACATTGCACGTGCTGCAGCAATGAAGTTGAACTCTGGAAGCGTCCACCTGGATCACTAGGCTGGGAAGGTTTATTTTCATTTTTGTCCCAGTGCCTGTCCCCAGCCATTTATGTTGGCTGATCAGGGTGCAAGATGTGACTCATCCTTCTTCATCTGAAACATTCAATGAGACTTTTGCATCCCTCATGCCACCTCTTCCTGTATACCCAATCCTGGGGACCAGGGAGCTCATGACGTCTAAGGGCACTCTAAGTGTCACAACTAAAGAGACTGAAGTTTCATATAATTTTGTAAGTAAATAACAGTGCTTTTAGGCACATTCAATGCAAGGTGAACCTGTAGATTTGTATACATTACCCTGAAAAGTAAATGGATTATGACCTAATTGTGGGGACTTCCAAGATTTTCTGGGAAGTAGAAAAAAAAAAAAAAAAGCCAAATACAGAAAATAATTATTTTTTGGTGACTATAATGTGCAATGTATGGGTGCAGAGTTCAACTCAGTGGCATTATTGGTCATCTTGACATGGTGACCATTTTCTGTCTCTAGAAGGGGAAGTAGCGGTTCCACTAAAGTACACTCAGCAGCCATGAATGTCCTTGCTCAGAATGAGCAGAGTCCCAGATCTGAAAGCACCTTCCCGCTCGTTTACTAACTTGTGCTTAGTAAGCATGTGCATCTGCGACTGATCAACACAGGAGCTGGCAAAAATATCAGTCACTGGGTTTCCGTGTCTATACTTAATGTACCAACTGCTAATTAAAATCTCAGAAGTCCAACCTCTTTTTAGTGACCTTGGGTTTATAAACATAGGCATTATACTAGTAATCTAAATAAAAGAGCTTACAGTCATCCTTTTAGGGGACTTTTTTTTGGTTGGGTTTTCCCTTCTTCCCTAACATACTTAAGAAATGGAACAATTCTAAGTATTGGCTCCTTGTCCTGCCCTGGGTATAAGGACACAGCTCTGCAGTGACTGGAACCTTTGCTGTTTCGTTTCCCTGCAGGAGGCTGCTGTGACCCAGGCTGCTTGTGACTTGCCTGGCTGTGCCTCCTTTGGAAGCACAACCTTCATGGTAGCCATTCCCATTTGATTTTCCAGGTGTTGTCCCAGATTGACTTTTCTTCCCTCATACTGTTATCTTCTTTTCCTCAGTAAACTCCACACCTTCATTTACCAAAATGTAACAAGATGAAGGAAAATGGAGAAACAGGGTCATTCATCCTTTTCAAGTAAAGGAGCAGAACTGCTACAGAGTTACACCCCGATCTTTGGTGGTACAGGGTCACTGATGGAGTCCTGGGGACACGAGTGGAGGGTGCATCCATCGTCCCTGTGCCCATGATGACACTAAGGTTTTATATTGGAGATTTTTTTCAATAACCTACAGCTGAGAGAAACAAACTCATTGGTCTCAATACCCCTTGATCATGGAGGTGCTTGAGCCATCATCTTTGTGTCCATCATTCTTCTGAATGAACAATCCCAAAGGATTGACTCCCAAGGTCCAGGGAGTCAGCCCAGACAGGGTCTTCAGATGGAAGTGAGCATCTAGCTTGTCCGAGCCAGACTTCTCATGTTATTACAGGTTATACAGAGGAGAACGCAGTACAGGACTGAGCTAGAAAGACCTGATTGATTTAGCTTCTACTTTTCACTACAATTACAGGTAGGACTATAGGAAGTCAGTGCAAGGTGCATGCTAGATTTTTTTTTTTTTTTTAAGTCTATGGGGTCAGTTTCTTGGTTTCTGCTTTCTTACCTAAATGTCAAGAGACTATTTAAAGTCAACACTGAGAGCTCTTTACCTCCACACTTGCACAGCTGTGCCTACTACTAAGAAATGCACAGTCATGTGAACAGATAGAAACTTGTAGAGCAATGCAGAGCGATGAAGTCTCTTCTGAGAGTCCCTGACCCTCTTCTCTGCAGAATGCAAGAGCAGACCTCTTGCTTCCTGAATGAAAATAAAACCATCAGCCGTTTCTACTGCATCTTCCCAGGAGGGTTCCCTGGCTCACAGTTGGAATTTAGGGGAAGAAGCAAAAGCTGTATCTGTCTTTGACCCTGAAATAGAAAGCTATTTATTTGTCTTCAGTGTTCAAGGCATGGCTTGTATTCTAATTCATCTAATAAACTCCCAACTTCCTGAAGTGAACACTAATGGTATTGTCCCACTAAAACTTGTTGTTTTGGTTCTTTAACTGGTCACTCACAATAAGCTATGAGGGTAGATGTGTTATAACATGTAAACTGTAGTTGCAAGAATATACCGTGAGGGTTGAAATAGGTTGGGTTTCATTTCCATCCTCATCCACATCTCATTGAATTTTATGGTTGACTTAATTGGCACCACAATCATTGTATGATATTATGCATTATCCTTTATTTATGTAAAATGAAATGCCTTATATATTATTAAAGAGTAAGTGCAATAATATGAAATAGCCTGTACATTTTTAAAATGTTGTCGCCAAGTTATGTAAATCCACATCTCTGTAAACAACCTTTTTTTTAAGTAATTTTAAAGAAATAAAAACTCTGGTTAGTACTTGCTTTTTTGTTTGTTTTTGCATCTGTAGACTACCACTCTAAGAGATGTTTATTATTACCTAATCATTACCTCTGGTAGCGTAGTGCCTAAGGCACTTGACTGCTAACCAGAAGGCGGGTGGTTCAAACCCACCAGCCACTCCTTGGAAGGAATATGGGGCAATCTACTTCCATAGTGATACTGCCTCAGAAACCCAAGGAGGGGTCGCTATGAGTCGGGTACAACTTGATGGCACATAACAACAACAACAATAATTACCTAAACTATTACTTAAATAAGAAAGGAGTACAAAGGCCACAGAAATCAAGTCCCTTATTCTTTTTGATGGGCATACTCAGGAACTCGACACTATCCAAAACCTTAAAATCAAACGTCCCGTTCTTTGACCCCAACTTCCTGGCTTTCTAAATCTTTCTTACTCTCCTTCCTCCAGCTCCCTTTTCTTGTCAGCCAATCCTTCCAGCTAGCCATCTTCTTGATTCCTGCACTCCACTCCTAGAGACAATCCCAACCACACAGCCTAACGCTGTTGCAAATTATAAAACACCACTGAAAGATGACCTAAATGAATGGAAAGATAGATATAAGAGTTAAAGGCAACAAAGGTTAATACTATTACACATACAATCCTGCAATAACAGTGATAACAACAATCAATGAGTGGCTACATAGATGACAGATACTCAAACTAAACAGGGCTAGGAAGGTGAATGGGACTATACCCATGAACATATGTATGTATGACAGAGGCTATTTCTACATAGGTATTTATATGTGCTGCAAATATAACCATGATTATAGTAGAGCACAGAGGAACAAAGTTATGAACACACCTTAAATATAATCAAACACCTTGAAAGAATGAGTCACTGAACCTGGGGACTCGGACCACAGATGGTCTCAAGGGGCACTAAGGTTGATTGGCATAGCATAGTCTACAAAGACAATGCACTACATTACATTCTACTTTGGTGAATAGCAACTGGGGTCTTAAAAGCTTGTGAGCAGGGGCAAGATGGCGGACTAGGCAGAAGGATTGCACAGACCCTCTTCAACAAAGAAAAGGGAAACCAATTAAC